AAATCAGTTGTTGGACCACTAACTCCATGCTCTGTTTCCCTTCCTTAAATTACTATCTACTTTATAACTTGGCATTTTTCATGATCATTCCTCTGTCTCATATTAATGAGGCTACTTCACAGTGCTCTAGTACTTCCCTGTTAATTTGATGTAAAGTGAATTAAACCCTTAATCTTTTGGGTGCTTGTATCTGACAAGATTAATGGCAGACCAGTACTGGGGAAAGAACTAACGGTACAAAATGTAAAATTGATTTGTTACATCTAAGGTTTCAATCCATTGTCTCCAGTTATAAACACAGACTCATGGAACTCTAGGCAGGTGCATCACAAAGAAGGGAACTTTAAGAGTTATTGTGAGATTACCTGGAAAGGCATTCAGTGTCTTCTGCTTATGAGAAAATGTATTTCCAAATCCCCAGTAAACTTAATATAAAATGAGGTTTAAAAACAGGCGAGAGGTGCCTCTGAGATCACTTTCCCCTGACAGAAAGCTTTAGTTAAAGATCAAGTACAAAATTAGCAGTATAAATATAACCAAAAGCTACTTTGGATGAGGCTTCTAAGACATAGAAGACATTTGGAAATATTGTCTTTAGCTTAAAACCTTGAAATTCATTCTATTGTCATGGGTAGAAGTCAGGTAGTCAGAACACTGATTGTCTTGGAGCTTGAAGTGGAACAAGTCCCTGGTACACACAGGCTTCTATTCACAGGCAGTACTTAAATGAATCTGAAAACACAAGGGTTTACCTAGTCAGCTCTGTCTCTCTCAGGACTAGTGGACAAAGGAACCTTATACAAATGTCTTTTGTAACTACTGTTATTATCAGGGCTTGTTAAGAGATATGGACAATTGACCAGCTTACTTACAGACTGTGTTTTTAAAAAGCATGAGAAGGAGAGATGCAGTTTTGTCTGTTCTGTGAAAATGCTCCTCCCTAACGCCCTAGCTAACTAGACCTCAGATTAGAGCTGTCTCTGAACATTACATTCCTTTGGAGACAGGGATCTCAGCATTGTTTGCCTTGAGGCACTGCAATAGTAGCTCTTAGATTCTGGTCGGACACAGGCAGTGGCAGAGAATATACACATCTGTACTTACTTCCTGGTAAATCTGGAATGAGTGAAGGGGAAAGGACAAAGAAAAGGAGTGTGAAAGACAAATGAATTAATGAACAGCTGCTATCAAAACTTTCACTTTTTCTGTAAATAGGCTTACACACACGTCTATCTTATTGGATGGTGCAAGACAACACAGACTTTATAGAAAAAAACCCCCATGCTTGGCTTTCCACCCATATGTCTCTTGCTCAGTGTCCTTCACCTCCCTCATCCTGCAACTTTTGAATCTGTTGGCCAGTATTTAGTAAATATTACAAAAGCTCCTACAGATTCTGGAAAACCAGACTAGACAGAAGATCCAAATTAGTACCTCAACTGAAAAAAAAAAAAAAAAGTTTTTCAAGTGACCTCAAACATTGCTAGGCAAAACAGATTCCACAGTGGAGAGCGCTGCAAGAAAAACTTCATTACTGCCACTGATACAGAACTATTTATCCAAGCAACAAAAGAGAATTAAGTCAAAGGAGATACATGTTCCTAAACCTCTTACATGATTATAGACATCTTCCATATGTTATTGATGACACAAAGTCAAAAACTCACTAAAAGTCAGTGAAGAAACTCTCTTTAGCTCCATTAGGTTTCAAATAGATTTTCTGTTAATTTTCCTGACTTCATGATGCTATACAGCAACTCTCAATTTCTAATTGCTCTTGGTTTCATTCATTTAACCCTTGAGGTTAGGTTAGGGTAAGACACAAGGTCATTCAGCAGCAGCATCAATAATTAAATGATGAAAAATTGTAAGAGCGTGTGTCTTGCGCCAACGCCCTTTTATGCTGTCGAACATAGCATATTCATATGCTGCAGAACAACTTAGCAGGCAAACTAAATGTGTCTACTGTTTGCATAAATTGACTATGTACACAAATGACAATGAGGCAGTGAGAGGTCAGATCTGCTCTTGTTTGGTATAAGAGCCTTAATGTCAATGTAGGTGAAAAGGGAAACTTTTACCCTTAAAAAACCCAACACCTCCCCTCCCGCTCCAACGAATATACACACACACCCCCCCCAATCAAAAAAAAAAAAGTGTGGAAAACGTTTAGCATGAACTAGCTCTTAGTTTCTTTTCTGGGCAAAAAGACCCATTACTTTTAAGGAATCAAGAAAAACATTAACATATTTTCCCCTTACGAGTGGGGCTATCTCCTAGCCCCACACACGAACAGTCATAATGGAGTCTTTGCCTCCTAAGAAACAAAATACAAGATTAGTAATAGACCTGCTGGTTGCCACCTTTCCCCTGCCCTTCGCCGTCTCCACCCTAACCTCCAAGCCTGATTCAAATTAAAAATTCACTTTAAAAATACAGAACCACTACCATTTCAGATGCATCAGGAATTATGGTTTGGCATGTTGTATACATGAAAAATAATGCAAGAATGAAAGCGGTTGTTGTGGTCACTAGAAGATAAAAGAACATTTCATGAGATGTGCAAGACCATGGAACGTTTCAGTCATAAATGCAGTAATAATTTTTTTTTTAAATTCCTTTGACAGTTCTAGAACAGCCGTACTACCCTGTCCCTCCATCCCAACCCCAAAATAATCACATACTTCATGCTTTTAGTATTTTTGATTTAGAAATTATGAACCATTTCTAACCCACTACAGGTAAGCACACAGGTCTTTATCTTAGAGACCATATTCACAGAAACACATATATTTAATTATTGCAAATCAAAATAAAAGCATTTGGCTTTATAGAAATGATTAGTTGCTGAAAACACACATATGCACCATGCAAACCTATGTCTTCCTAAGTGTTTTCCTTCGTCTCCCAGGACTGCGTTGGAACTATTTGCTTGACTTTCATATTGGCATATGATTGGCTATAAATCTCCTACAAGTAGGGATTAAAATCACACATTTGATCATCCATTCAGCACCAGGAAGGTGTGTCACTGAACTCTTAATAGCTAGTCCAAAACAGACATTTCAAAATAGTTCTTTTACATACAAATCAATTAATGCAAGTTTTAGCTATTTTTCCTTAGATTACTCAGATCCAGCATGGAAGCATCTGCTTACCTGACTCAGTCTCACTAGGAATGGCTATCTAACCAACAAGGTACTGAGCAAGAACTGAGGGAATCCGAATCCAATTCCCATGTTCGATATGGACTTCTTGTGAAGTCTTAGGTCTCTCTTAATGCAGGTAGGGCATCAGTGGTAAGATAGGGCAATGCTCTCGCTCCTGTAAGATATTCTACCTCCTCATTTGCATCTTCTTTCAACATCCATAATTGTAATATCAACTGTATCTCCCTAAATTCACAGAAAATAGAGCAAGGCAGGGTAGCAAGAAGATTATTCAGTCCATGTCCCTTTTGTGAAGGCAGCTTTAAATTAAAATCACTAATAAAAAACATGAAAGGAAAATATTCCTTTCGGAAACCATAATTTAAATTTCTTGGTTTCCCCCCCCGCTTCTCCCCTCCTCTTTCTTCTAAATCTTGTATTTCCATTTTTTACCGCATGCTTGGTAGGATGACAGGAAGAGGAGGAAGAGTGGTACCACGCTGGGTTCTTAACAGCTACATGCTTACACAACACATTAATGATTAATGCCAGTTTGTTGGTTAACAGACACCAAAATAATGCAGTATAGCACTTCAGTTCCCTCGATAGAAGGGCTATAGCACAACAAATAGCGCTCTGGACCAAAGGGGTGCAGTTCCCATCTACTCACTTTGTGACTCTGAGCTTTCAGATTCAGCAAGAGGCCAAGTTGCTATGGAAACATGAAGGATAGATAGGATATATAAAGGTGAAGCATATCATGTAAATAAGTTATAAGAGGCAGGGCAGGGGTGATAGATAGAGAGGAGGTCTAATGAGGAGCGAGTGAGTATGATACTGAATCCTTATGGTAGATGTGTATTATCTGAAGAGGTGGCAAAAATTGTGCTCTGCTGCTTTCCAAAACCCTCTCTGCACGGAAGGTTGTGCTGCCAGATGCAGGGCCTTCCAGGTGACAGGGAAGACAGCCTGCACTGCATGGCTCCTGCAACGAGCTACAGCTCCAAGGGTCCCTACTGCTGTTTTTTTCATCCTGAAGAGCATTGAAGCTCTGAATCCAATTTCAGAGACAGCCACAGCATTTTTGCCTACTTTTGGCCCAAAGAGCAACCAAGGTTCACATGTTGCTAGCCCATTAAGTACTGGAATTTCTGGGAGGCCCTCTAGAGCAGCACTCCGTTGCTAGCTTTTGCTCAACTATAGAAGACAAAGGAGTAAGGACTAATGAGAACCTACCCTCCTGATACACCGGTTCTTTCTCACCTCTATGCACTAGTGCCAGGATACAGGCAGAGAGGAGGAAAAAAGATCTAAGAGCCCCTTGTGAGCACCCTTGAGAAACAAGGCAGTTTTGAGAGAAGCTGACAGACTGAAAGCCCCTTGAGAATGTCACTAAGCTCTCCACTCCCAAGAGCAAAAGAGCAAAGGCAGACTGTACAAGCACTGAATACAAGGATTAACAGGAGAGAAGAACAAAGAATGTCTCTACTCCCCAAAGTCATGGAAAGAATGCAGCATGAGACACACGAGCTGTGAGGAATTTTTCTACTCTTCTATATAACATCTTTAAAAACAAAAGAATTGTCACTGTCATGTCTTCATGACTGGGCAGAGAAGTACAGCTACAGAGAGGGGTAAATCAGATGTCTTGAGAGGCTGGAGGGCAATCCCACAGAAAGAGATCTGAGGGTTTGAGTTGATGGCAGGTTCGATATGAGTCAACAGTGTGCCCTGGCAGCCAAAGGGGCCAACCGTGTCCTGGGGGGTATCAAGCACAGCACAGCCACCCAGTCAAGGGGGGTGACTGTCCCACTCTATATGGCACTGGTGTGGCCCCACCTCAAGTACTGTGTGTACCTTTGGGTGTCCTAACATAATGAATGACATCAAACTATTAAAAAGTGTGTCCAGAGGAGGGCGACCAAGATAGTAAAAGGTCTCAAGGGCAAGGCTTCTGAGGAGAGGCTGAGGTCACTTGGCTTGTTCAGCTTGGAGAAGAGGAGGCTGAGGAGTGACCTCACTGCAGCCTACAACTTCCTCAAGGGGGGCATCAGAGGGGAGGTGTTGATCTCCTGTCTGGTGACCAGCAATAGGACACGAGGAAATGGAATGAAGTTGCATCAGGGGAAGTTCAGATTGGACATTAGGAGAAGGTTCTTTACCTAGAAGGTGGTCAGTCACTGGAACAGGCTCCCCAGGGAAGTGGTTATAGCACCAAGCCTTTCAGATTTCAAGGAGTGTCTGGATGACACTTTTAGTCATATGACCTAGTTTCAGATAGTTCTGTGAGGAACGGGGAGTTGGACTCTATTATCCTTAGGAGTCCCTTCCAACTTGAGATATACCATGATTCTACGAATTCCTTTTCCTTCCATGGCGATATCAGTGCTGCTTGTGTGAGGGGAGAACAGAATAGACCCTTGTGTGGTTTGCAGCCTAATGCGATTATGCAGATTTTAAAAAATGATGAAGCAGGATATCAAGAAATTAGTTGTCTTCCACAGCTCCAGTCTTAGTAACAGGCTTAGGGAAGCACAAGCCATTCCCTGCTGATCACTTGAGTATCTTCTGCTCTATTTAGCTGAGAAACTGAACTCTTTATTTGCTGTGATAAGTTGATTTCAGGAAATTTAGCTTCACACCACAAAAGCTGAGTATATCCTAGAGGCATCCCCAAGAATGAAACACAAACTGATCAGAAATATTAATGGCAAAGGCCAGTGACAACAACCAGCTTTCACATGGGCGGGGTTTCACTCTACATCTTTCTCTTGATCTCTCTCCTTCCATGAGTCGAGCATACCTGGGAGTTGCATGTGACTTTTCTCTGTCCTAGAAATCAAACTTATGTTTATCTGTAGTTCCTCTACCTGAAGATTCAGTTTTCACTCGGGGGGAAAAAAACCCAAAAAACCAAACCAAACCAAAAAAACCAAACCAAAACACCAGAAAAGAAGGAAAACACCCAAGGATGTTAGGCAGACTGCACCACACTCAGTGAAGACATTCATGCAGAGCAAAGTGGAACAAAGGCAACAGCCTCTTCTACCATACTCACTCTGTGCTATACGGGAGGTGGGTGCAGCACTACTTGCTAAAGAGAGAGAAAGGAAGGTGAGGAGGGGAGTTGACTCCTATTAAATACTGCCAAAAGACAGAAAATTAAAAAAATAAATTGGTAGGATTTTGTCAGATCAAGCCTCTCTAGACATAGAGCGCAAGCAAAGTAAGCGTACTTTGCCAGACCTGCATTTTGGATCCTGTGAGTCTTGCTTTAAACCAACTTTCTCGTAACACAGGATCACTCAACACACAGTAGTGTTCACTAATGTTCCCAGGAGTTCAAACCAATTGCATTTAAGGCCAGCAGAGATGCTGGCCAGCACCATGTGTATGCTATCAAAACCACAGCCTACATAACCACTGTTTTGCTGAAGGCCATTGCTAATTATCCTTTTGCCAGCTTCAGACCTGGTGGAATTTGGGGATTATTTTAGTGTTTTTTTTGTTTTGTTTTACTTTGGGTTTTGGTTTGTTTTTTTTTTTTTTTACATTAAGATACTCTGATATAAAAATCAAACACACCACATGCACACACTCCTGTGGTTTAACACACGTTTGGGTCTCACCTGCACAACAAGAAGAAATAGCTGGGGCTCAAAAAGGAAGTGTTCACAAGGTCTCTATGCAGCCTTTGTTTGTCTTCAGATTTATAAGGAAAAGGAAATGCAGAAAACCAGCAAATTGTTTGGATGAAAATACAAACGCAGGTCAAGTCAGACAGATATGCTCCCAACTCCAGAATTTTCAGCTGTGCTACTACAGTACATCATTATCACTAATCACTTTGGCCTTCATGTGTCTCTGAGATAGAAACTATTTTTTGCTTATTGAGAAAAATTTAAAAAAAAAATCAAAATAACTACGGACATATCCCAGCAGGCATTAAAAAATGGTGTCAGTTGTTACATTCAAGTAGAAACTTTAAATAATAGGGAAAGGAAAAACAGTTGCTTTGGCTAGTCTGAAAATACAGCCTTGGCTGGCATCAAAACACCATTTTTATACTCTTTCTTGTAAAATTTCTGCAATGTTTCTGTGATCTTCAGAACACCAGACTAGGGGACATCCAACTGTTTCCTGATGTTGACTTTGCCCACAAACAGGTAATATTGTGTGATTGGAATTCCAACGCAAAAGAAAAAAGGCATTTCTGTTGTGCCAACAATCTCTTCACCATTGCTGCAAGCCAGTTTACGATCTGAGATGGGCTTTGAGAACCCCAGAGAGCAGAGAAAGAATTAGAGAACCAAATGCTCAGAAGGATCAGAGCTGCAAGGCATAAATCTGCTTGAAAGAGCATCAGTAGAATTTAACTTGTAAATTTAAAAAAAATGTTATAGCCCACAAAGAAGGAAAAAAAGAAATGGAACTTACCCTATAAGGGAGCAAAGTTAGGGACTACAGACTGATTGACAGCCAACTGCCAGATTAAAAAAAAAAAAAAAAAAGGAAAAACTCTACTACGAGTGGGATTTAATGTTCTTCAAAGCAACATACCTGTCCCCAAGTGATGAGCATGAGGCTTGGCAGACAGATCTGTAGACGTGGCTGAAACAAAGCTTTTAATATTCATTTTCCTTTCTTCATTGGATCTTTTCCCTTTTCCTGTGGTACTGATCTGCACAGAGACTGAATACCTAAGCTTTTATCTCCTTTGCGTATTGCTGACTATATCCAATTCAGAGGGGCCTACCAAATCACTTGCCTGATATACTAACCACGATTAGCTGCGTGTAAGCGATGTATTACTTCTACTGAAATTAACAGGCTCCAAACAATTTTAGGCAACGGACTATGCTTATGTTCTGGAAACAGGTCTCCCAGTTGACTCTTTGTAACTACTGCAATTTGCAATTCCGTCTATCCATCTGTCCATTCATTCATCCATCTTGACTATCGATCCGATCATCCTGTTAGTGGTCCACTAAGTCCAAGCTTTCATAGAATACAATCTTTACGGAAATATAGCACAAGCATGATTTAAATCCTGTAATTAGGGTTAAAAAACCCTTTCCTTTCCTTACTTCAGCTTCAGCAATCTCAAAGAATGCAACAGCAGCTTCATAAGGCTTGCCCATACAATCTTGGAATAACAACAGTTCACCACAAGAATACATACTTTAATACAGAATAATGCTCACTTAAAGAGGTTTCTTTTAGCTGTCACTGATTAACTCTGATTTGAAAGGCACAAAGCTATGGAGCGTACATTAAACATATCCATCAAATCTCTCTAACTCATCGTGCATTGGGAAGGGGGAAACATGCATTTTTTTTATTATGAGGTTTATTTATTTATTTGAGTACACAATCTACACAAGTGCTGGAAGACTGTCCAAAGACTACTAATGGTAAAAAGTATTAGCGAGAAGAGGTAAAAAAAGTGATTTTTTTTTTCTTGAAATTTTTGCTTTCAAAATTGTGAGAACATTCAAAATTCTGAAGTTTTAGGTTGGCTAACCAAATTGGTCTAATTGAGATCTGCAATTTAGCTAAAACTCTCTCCTGTTTGGTTTTTGGTTTGTTTGTTTTGGTTTTTTTTTTCCCCATGAATTAGCTACATTTCATTAAATTTGAAAAATTTTAATTGATTCATAAACGTGAAGCCTTCCACTACTCCAGTCTATAATCAACAAGCTAACTATTATTATTAGACAATCAAGTTAAACATTTGAATTGCATGCTTTACAATAAAGACAAAGATGTTAATCCCTAATTCTGTTCTAAAAGAGCAGTATTATCCATAGTAGAATGACTATCATAGTGTCAGTCTTGTTAGGAAATGGACAGCATCAGTTATTTCATTCCTAAAGACCATGAGAGGAAAAAGGTACAAGATTAAAAGCTAATGTTATGTATGTTAGAGGAACACTCTAGGAACATAAAAAGAGAGTGAAAGAAATGCAGAGAGGCACTTACGTGAGTGAGGGATGCCTGCAGTTTTTCCATGGATGGAACACAGACAAAAAGAAAAGACAGAGATAGACACAAAAAAATAAAATGTAGAAGAGGTGAGAAGAGGAGATAGAGAACATGGAACTGGAAAATCAAAATACCACCAGCTGTCTCAAATCCAACCCTAGGGAGTGGGGTAGGTTACAGGAGTTATCACAACAGACTGAACATCAGCTGTGAGGGCTGGTTTACTGCACAGGGCCTGGGATTTCCCAGCAACAAGTGTACCGTCCCACACTGCTTAGCAATTCTGGTGAGGCAGAAGTTAGCATACAAGATCAAGACCATGCACAGCTCACAGTTCGAAGCATGCACATACATGGGCTAGGAATATTGCTAACTCTGAATTCAGGAGATGGTCCTGCATAGTAGTTTCAGAAGAGCTATGAAATAGGTACACAAGTATAGGTGCGATGTCAGGAAGAATAGGCTGTAGATCTAAATATGAGGAGAATGGGAAAGAAGAACCCTCAGGGGCTGTGGGCGGTTGAAGACAGATCCTAATACTTGGATGAGGCTGTGTACAAGGATAAGAGACCACCTCTCCTCTGCCTGCTTTTGTCACGTCTCCTCTACCCACTCTACGCTTTTTGTTCCTCTTTCTCTTCTTCCTGTCTTGAATAACTCTGGTTATTAATTCTTGCCTTTTTTGTTCCTGGTTGAAACAGGAGGGAAAGCGTTAGGCCATAACAGAGCATCCTGCCATTAGAGTGGAAGATTACCCAAGGAAAGCAGACAAGAGGCTGTGGAAATCACCTTACGCGCTGCATGGTCATCTTAAAGCAGTGATATGCAGAAAAGAGAAATCTCCCTCCTTCCACAGTTCATGGCCAGTCCGATGCTGAGCCTCTTAATTTCTGATTTGTAAAAAAACTTGCCTTGTGACAATGACATTACATTCTCTATGACCAATGCCCTTCTCAACTCGCTTCTTTTTCTTACTAAAACTCTCCATTGCATAGCCCCAATACAAAGTTTATAGTAGGTACCCAGGGCACAAACGAGTGCAAATAAAACAGTTCCTCTGCCTCCCACCTTCAAAGAAGATTTCTAATTGGTGATGAAATTCACTAACAATCAAAAAGTACAGGAAAAACAAAGGGTACAGCAAGGTCTGCAAGAGAAGAAGGTGTCATCCATGCATGGGAGATTCCCTGGAAAGATGCAAGGAAAAAGAACCAGCGAAGCAGAGGGAGGTCTCAGTTTTACTTACGAACTGGTTGCGTCTTGAAGTCGGATGGCAGGCTAATCTCACCCACACCCTTGCCATTGACCGCAGACAGTCTCACAGAGTAGGTTGTTTCAGGTTTTAGACCAGTGATAGTGATCATGCCCTCCACATTTGCTGTTACAGAAACAAGGGAGGAAAAGCAAAGAAAGGATCAGGCTTTAAGTCAACAATAAATGCCATGTTTCTATCATACACTTTTGCCACACTCACCCTATGTAACAGGGCCCTCTTCTGCGGCCAGCCTCACATAAAGAGTGCAGACAAAGAGAAAAGTAAGAGCTACCACCTCTGTGTCAAACAGCTGGTTAGAGAGGTGTATTGCCACAGCCTCTCTAGAGGCGATGTAGCAGAGTTCATGGTAGACACCAAAGTGCATCAGCCCTTGGCCTGTGCTAAGGAGCTCCCTGAATAATGCTCTTCAAGACCACTGTCATATGGGGCTCTGACTGCAGTAGACATATCACCTAGAACTGTTCATCTGTTGGGCTGCATGATCCAACTGAAAGCAAAGCCCTTAGAGAGATGGGTTTCTCTTCTGCTAACAATCTATAAGAAGGTTAACGTAAGAGATGGAAAGAAACTGCTGCGGGGTCATCGTGATATGGAGAAACAAGCTCTGTTTTTTCTGCACAGACACAAATGGAGAAATAAGAAAAATAAACCTGACTCTAGCTATGATCACATCACTCCAGTGAGGACCTGAAAGAAGAATTTTGGTTCCAGCCAGGATTGGCGGTGGAAGATTCAGCTCTGAAATAGAACTCTCCTTTTCATAGTCCTCCCAAATCAAAATTCCTTTGGTTTACTGAACTTAAGGATACATTTTAAGCAGTGTGTATTCCTACAGATTGCTATAACAAGACAGTAATCAGAGTTAGACTTGCTTCTGAAATAGGAGGGTTTATGCTCCAAGGGGAAAAGAAGGGTAACTAAAGGGGCTGACAGACAAGGCTTGAAAAGCCTTCTGTAGGAAGCACACAGTCACTACCCAGTTAGCAAGCGAAACCTCATTCAATACCAGGCACAACGTTCTTCACCTTATTCAGATAGGATGGTGTGAACAAGGAAGGGATATAGAGATGAACATAGTGCTACAACACACACTCTGTAGGCAGAGAAGACTGGTGCCTTGTCACACACGTAGAGCTATCATCACAGCGGGGCCCTTATTTCCAACTGAAAATTCAAGGTGTTGCTGCAAAGCAAATATTTAAGAACTTGCCTAGGGCCTTAATATAGGAGCCAAAATTGCAAAGCTATGGAACCATTCACTCTGGCTTTCCCCTAAAGGAAAGCCTTTTGGGATGCAGGTAAGGTAACATCTTATGCACATGCAGGGGATGGTAAGGTCTTGTTTTATCATCCTACCTTCTTTTGCATCATACAACCTCGAATGCCATTCTCCCTCACCAAGAGCCCTCCACTCTGCTTTGTACTTGAGGATGGGCACCCCACCAGTAGCTTCAGGCTCATCAAACTCCACCTGGGCAGTACTGGAATAGGGCTCCACTCTGTCAATGGAAGGAGAGGACGGAGTATCTGCGGAAGGAAGGGAAAACAACCAGTGATACGGAAGACAGTGGGGAAACAAGCTCCAGTGGCAAAGAAAACAGAAAACTGGGAATATCAAAACACACCCTTGTCATGGCTTCACAAAGGAGAGGACAAGGGTAGGCCCGAGGATTCTCTCAGGAAGGGAAGGCTGTTAAGAGGGCTTTTAAGAGTGCTAATTAGACAGTGCAGAGGCCTTAATCTTGTCTGTCCTCTAAGAGGCTAGAGACTTACAGTACCTTCTTCAAAAGAGAACAACCAGAGCAGAGTAGCAAGAAAGCATCCTGGATGCTATTCTGTCACTACAGTCTCTTCCATAGGGCACTCCAATACACAGCTTGACCATTCCTAAATCTGTCTCTGTGGCACCCCTGAGGGGACACCAGAGGCCCTTCCTGTCTGTCATGCAGTCACACTCCAGGCGTCTTTGGATGGTACACAGTGCTCTGAGGTTTCTGTCTTGCACTACCTGCACTATTAGGGATATTTTGCTGATTCTGAGAAGCTTATGTACACATATATGCACACATGCAATGGCTGTCAGATATCAAAGATCACAGCTCTGTCAAAAGCGTACTGAAGTGCAGAGAAGAATAAGACCCTTCAGAAACAAGGAGAGAGGGATACTGAGGATCTTGTTGCCTACAATCCATTCCAACACAAAAATCTATGAACGGTCTCTTTGAAAGTAGAAGCTGACTCTCCTGTTACCCCACCAACACAAACTAGAAAACAAACGGTTGCTCTGCCACCTCAGCTCAAGGGCTACATATGCATTTCTTTACCTCCCTGCCTGGGGTGCTCACCTGCCTGCACAAGAATGAACTCTGAGGACTCCTGGCCAATGCGGTTCACAGCAGTGCAGTTATAGTTCCCAAAGTCATTTTCAGAGTCTGGTGTCACCTGTGGAAGGAATGAAGGCTCATGCTTGGATCAGAAAACCCTTTTCATTCTGTCAATGCACTCTGCATTTTGCTGAGGAGAGAAGCCATGGTAAGGTACATGTGCTAACACTTTTTGAGGGCTGTCCACAGAGGGGAGAACTGCAGTTGGCAGAAAGTCAAAGGCAAGGAGGGGGTAATCTTCTATTACCTGATTTTCTTAGCATTTATGTGCCAGAAACACCACAGAACGTCTTGTCTACCAACAGGGTTCCCTGACAAAAGACTTAACTCCTTCAACATCGGGAACAGAAATTATTTGATAGCACTGAGCCTTCATGGCTGCATATGCTTTCTCCTCTTCTTGCTTTTCCTCACCTCCAGGTAGCTTGCTGATGGAGTGTTGTAGATCTTGATGTTGCTGTAGTTTGAGCTGGGAAGCAGCTGTCCATCCCGGAACCAGGAGATGACAGCACTGGGGTAAGCAAATACCTCACAGGTGATGTTCACTTGATTCCCTTCCCAGGTGTAGACAGCCACAGGGCCCTGAAGCTTGGGGGCATCTGAAAGACAGACACATTTGCATTTGTGAAGGTGATTTGAGCCAGAAAAATCTCCGGAAGTAGCCCAGTCAGCCTCACTAAGGATCCCTTGGATGGGGTCCAGTTTAATGTGGGGAAGGGAATTTAATACAGGAAATGGGAACTGTCTTCTCATCTGGGGGTTGGGCGGTGTCTTCTGCTGAAGGACGTAAGCAGGAAACCTACTCCAGTCCCAAAGGCTGCTCCTAATGCAGTGTGGGAGGAAGAGCAGACGGCATGCTATGCATCTAGGGAAGGGCACACGAGGAAGTTCTCCTAAGGAAGAACTCTGATGCATTCAGCAAATGGGACTGCAGCAGATTCATAGCCCGTAGTCTTCCCAAGGTACAAACAGTATCCCAGCTGGAGACCGCTAGACCAAACATTTGCATGTATGCACACAGCAACATGTCTCCAATGAAATTATTTCTGACTGAGTTGCTTCTGATGCCCTCTACCTAAACAGCACACATTTGCCTAGCCATAGGTGCCTCAGTCTCATCACAGGAAAAGGAAATCAAACCAGTTACCCCTCTAAACACATGAAAACCCTCCCCGCACCATCCTCCACTTCTTACACTGCACTTCAAGGTACATGGCTTGGGAGTCCTGCCCAATGGTGTTGCTGGCTATGCATACATATTCTCCGGCATCTGTGTACTGAATTTCTTTCAGAGTCAGGGATGACACCCGGGCATGGCTGCGTACTATGATGCGCCCATCCAGGGTCTGGCAGGAAAGGAAAAGAGAGTTAGAGGCTGAGCTCTGAGCTTGCAATGCATACTTAAGGGATGCGAACAAATGTAAGTCTACCTCACACCAACCCTCCAGTGCTCAGTGCTTCAGAAGTGATCACCTGAGGCCAAGTGAAACCATGGGCACAGAGAGGCATTTCCAAGAGCAACAAGAAGATTCCCTGTCACACAGGGCCAACTGCAGTGATTCAAAGCACTCAGGAGAACACAAAAAATGAAATGAAGGACCAACGTATCAGACGCTACTATGTGTCTGAGGACAGCTGGATAATACCAAGCTTCTTCCCAGAATGAGAACTGTAGAGATCCAGCTCTAGTTAAAAATTTTTGCCAGCATGCTCTTGTAGAAAACCTCCCCAACGGCTACTGTGTTTCTACTCAGAGAATTCAGGCCTTCCTCTTCTCTCACTGATATTTGTTTTATTTCAATGTCCTTGAAATGGCATTAATAAGAACAGATCCAGACAGAACTGAATCAGGCAAAATGAAAGCTCAGAAGTTTCACCCGAACATGGCATTGAAGAGAGCAAGGTACAGTGAACAGGGCGAGAAAACTATGTGACCCTTCTAGAGACAATCCTGCTTCAAGGTCTTGTGATGCTTCAAGAAAATTCTAGAGCAGTTTGCAATGGTTATATGCCAGTTTAGAAATTGCTCCCACATGCAAGAAAGTGTGGGGATGTCAATGACAGGCAGACAAGGAATGTAGAATCGAGGCTGCCATCTGCTCAAAGGGATTGCAGCCACCCAGCGATCCCATCCCATGTAACTTTTTTTTTTTTCTTCTCCAATTTGTGACCAAAACCCAAGTGCTGTCTTAATACATGAAGCAAATAAGGCCATGGATTCCTCCTTCCACCCTGGTGCTTGTGCTTCAGCTTGGAAGCTTTAAAGCACCAGCTCTCTCATCTAGTTTCCAAAGTGGCACAAGCACAAGCAAACACATCAGGTACCCTCATGGCTACGCCGGCTGCTGCAGCCTGCCACACAATACAATTAATGCTCCAAGAGCATTAATTTTCTTGGAAGATACAGGACAAGTTCTGAGATTATGAGGAAAAACCCTGAGGACATTAAACAGCCAAATGCACTGGGCTGTATCACAAAGCACATCTCTGGTATCTCAAGTGGTCAGATTCTCTGGACCTAAACCCTCTTTCTGTTCTGAGCTAGTGATCTCAGTCTCCGAGACTGATGAAGTTTCTACAAGTAAATGTGATTATCTCTGTTAGATCTGAATATTAGTTCACTCGAGCTAGTCAAATTTAATGTGCATGAAAATAGTATCCTTTGATGACACAAATTCAATTACATGTATTTTTCTTGTCTCTTCTATCCTGCACGCAGGTCTACTGCAACCCCTGACCAATGCCACAAGCTGCAAACTCCACACACTCTCCTGTGCTTGGTGCCTTGTGTTGCTGGGAACAGTTCATTATTTCATGTACACATGGTGTTGTGTGCGTCATTTCCTAGAACCAGGGAAGGATCCCTTAACACAACATTAGTCCATTGTAGTATTTTACACAGCCAAATTCTGCTTTTATCTATCTCCACTGTCTGACTATATCTTTTTGTCTAACTTGTGATTTGACTCCAAAACTCAGCTCACTTCTGAAACTATTGCAGTAGGATCCATAAATGTCAAGACTCTAGATCTGCAGAGGCTCCCAGCTTCTTTTAGCTCATGAGTTGGGTAAATATTCAAAATACTCATCTCTCTGATCCCATCAGCAGGCAAGCGTATAAACATGGCAAAATACCAGCACATGATCACTACAGCAAAGGTAATTTTACATCCAGTGTCACCTGCCTTTCCCCCACTTTGTCAAGATCCCATACAAACAAAAGAGTGCTAGGCAGTCATGGTAAAATGATAACTTTACAAGTAAGGCAACTGATTCTGAAGATGAAGCTCTGTTTCTTAATGCAAAAGTCCTAAGTACAGAAAAAGAAAGGTCAGGAAAAATACTCCAAAGATGAGAAGAATATCTACCCAAGAAAGCATGCTGCTAGTTTTCTTTATTCATATTTCAGACCATCAGATGCTAACAATTCCTAGCTATTAGAGACATAGGATAGGTAGAAACTTGTGAGGCAGATGTAGACACTTGTAACCCCTTTACCTAGCCTCTTTGATTTCTAGGATTTTGGGTAACAAAATGCTTTATAGTAATGAAGAGACAACCTAAGGGACACAGGCAATAAGTCATGTCATAGCAATTGCCACTCTACAGAAAAAGGTATGATAGTTCTCCATATTGCCAATTACTACAATTTACCCTGAGCTACATGCCATTGTTCTTCTCCAAATTCTGATAATGCCATGTGGCACATAGTCACTATGTATAAAGCTGGCGTAGATTTCAATACTTCAGTGCCAAAGGGGAAGCAAAAAATGCATTTGCCCACTGTCCCTCCACCTTTTGGATTTTTCAGTCGTTTCACAAACAAGTATCCATGACAATTTCACACAGTCATATCGTCTCCTCACCCGCTTTCCACATGGTGAATGTCATTACAAAATGACACCTAGAAATCCTGACCACAGCTACAACTTCCAGTGAAGGAAGATGAGTGGTCTCTCTAGCTCTATGCTTGCACTGCACTGACCAAAAGTCATCATCTGCAGCGCTAATACTTGTAAGGTTGCACTAATTCCAAGTTACCAGAAAGGCATCACCAGTTTGTGGTGTAACTGAGGTGTACTTTCGCTTATAACTGAGTTTTTTAGCACCTGTTGGTGATAATGTGGGTTGTGGGGTTTTTTGTTAGCATATGCTGCTAACATGACTTTCAACAATTCTCCAGGATATGCAGGACCAGCATGGTGAACAGAGACATTATGCACTGACCACAGTAAGTTGAGCTGACAGTGGTTTAGAGGAAAAAGCAGCCAATTGCAATTGTGCCTCCAAAGCAAGGAAACCAAGCGTTAACACCCATATATGCTGTTATAACTGAAGCTCACAGAGATTTCCTTACTTTAAACTAGCTAATGCATTAGTAAGAGTGAAACACTTAATGCCAACTATTCACTCAACTTCCTGAGAATTCAACTCCCTGCCACTGGAATACACTGCAAAAAGACCCCATGCTAGCTATTTCAAATGTAAATCTACACAAGCTGCAACAACAAGCTTCAACAACATTCTCATAGAACCCCGCTTGAATATTTTAAGACACAGACGAAGTAAGAAATTTAAGGAAAGCAAGCTTAATAGTATTATTAAAAAACTTAAGACAGAGCACAGTAAAAAAAACTGTAACAGGAATTAACATGAGGCCTGAAGAGGCGCAACTACTCAAATTCCAAATTTTTCAAAGCAAACTGGTCTGAATATCCAATGCCTTTATTTGCCACAATTCATCTATTCCAACAGATCATTTTGAAGTAACAATGGGCAGTATCTTCTCAGCCCCATATGAAACAAAGGTGAATGCTGCTTAAGTTAGAGGTTCACTTTGTTTAGGCCACACCAGTCTCCATGGTTTAGGATAGCTTAAAAAAAAAAAATTCAGGATACTCAGAGCCTCCGCAAAGTTGATCCTAAAAATACAAATATAAGTCACCCAGCTCTGGTAGCTAATTTTCTTCTCTACCTATTATTTGCTTGGAAACATACTTTCTGGTCCATTTTGAAGCAAGAATGCTACAAATCAGGTGCATGTAATGGTAGGTTGTTATGATTACTATTTTTAAAATACAGCACTGAATATGAAATAAACCAGCAACAAACCACATTTGCACCAAACTGAATTACTGCATTATCCCACATCCCCTCACTGACCCTCACAACTCAAAGATAAATAATAATTTAGCCAACTTGGAGCATCTCTGGAGAAATATAACTTGTGAAACATTTATCTGCATTGATTTTGAAATGGAACATGATGCAGTTGTCCTTTAAGAGAAGGTCAAATTTAAGGAGTACCATGAGCAAACAGATGAGTTGGCTGGAGCAAAAGAGCCTATCTTTGGAAAAAAAATACTTTTCCAGAATACACGCTGTTGCTAATTCTTAAAACTCTAGAAGAGATATATGATTCACAGTGGTAGCAGAGAAGAAAATGGTGAAAGCAGTATTTGTCAGTTTTTACATTTGCTTTTGTTTTCAGTTGTTTGTTGTTTTTCTTTTAAAAGTGCAACCAGAATTACTCACTCCCAACACAGCTAGTTTGCTCATCCAAAAATGCATTACTACATGCCAAGCAACATCTAACTCTATAAGCTGTTTCTTTTACGTATTGATATTTAATTTGTTCATATTATTAATGCTGGTTTAGTTGGCGTGGTTACTGGACTAGATATTTGTTAATCTGTAATGCTTAAAAAAAAAAACCAAACCCAAAAAACTAATAAGTTTGCTAAAGGTCTGGTAATCTTATACCTCTTGTTTCTCGGGCCGGGTCCACGAAGCCTGGAGAGAACAGATATAGAACACAACAACAGAAAAAAAAGCAATAAAAGTTTATCAAAGGTTGCTTTTAGGTATCATAGTGTATGCACCACATTGCGTTCTGTGCACATGCAGGTTCCAAGTTGTGTATCTCGTATGTGGGGTGATCACAACTTCCATTTCCCAATATAACCTCAATTTAGATTTGCATTCAAAATTTAATGTCCTATAAATCGGTCTTAAAATGGTTAGGCAAAGGCTAATGATACCTGCTTCTGTTTTTGCATATCGAGTGACTATTTCCCTTGTCACATCTAACCATTTCTAGAAACGTGTTCCCAGCATACTGAGGAAGTGATTCTGATGACCTAGGCCACTAAATTGCAAAGATAGTTACAGAACTGGTTTTCTAACACTGGTTTGTTAGCCACCCGCACACACTGATTAACATTAACACTCATATTGCTAATGTGATCATGCATTTGTACACGTTTTTTACATGCATACTGTGCCAGGAGTAGGAGACCTTGAGCTGCAGAGCATTGAAGCAGTATGGCCCTCCCCCTAGACAGGA